AATTGTATTTTACTCTAAACAGATCATACTACATAGCAGTAAGCTGACACTAGCTTTGTCAGTTGGTTGAGTTGCTTAAAAATTAAATCTTCCTTAGGTTAAACATTTAATAGCCACTAATTTTTATGTGAGAATTAGTTACTGCTGTCCAACCTGTTTTTATTTTGTCATGTGACTACATTCACATCCTGCCAAATGATGTAGCACTATTGTCCATCAGGCTCAACTTTAAATAGACCAATAGTGCAACCTCATGTTCCTGGTAATTAAGCTATGTTGTAATGTGAACACTCTAGTTCTACTGTTTACCCTGTGGTTGTCTCAGAGAAACATAATTGAACATCACTGCAGGCAATATAACTTTAGAGAGATATTACTTCCTGTGTCTGAGTATTAAACTACTGCAGTGTTTTTTTTTGCCTGCAAAGTTTTCAGACTCATAGATCTGTTACTGAATCTGGACTTCCTGAAATGCACGTCTTACCACTACTTGAAACAGTATGCCTCGACCAACGCAGCTCCATATGCTGATTTTAATGAGGGGCTGTTTTAAACCTACACTACACTAATAAACACCTGATAATGAGGTTAAATTTTAATTAAAATAAAAAGCAGGTGCAACTGGCTGCAGTTCATCAGTCTAATATGGAGTCAGAAAAGAAGTGATCTCTCAGTAAGCATGAACGTCTGAACTCTCCTTGGTGAAATAAATAACACTGTCACATACTTGGCAGTATACAAACTGGCTGCAGTGCTCCCTGGGAGCCCAGTATACCACACAAAAACAAAGTTCTGTCAATGCAGGAGGGCTTCGTGGTTATACACACACACACACACAGGCACAGAGTAGTAGCTATGTTTCATGAGGCATTATAGACTGGCCCAGCTTCTGTTCCCTCAAGATATATCATTTCTTGGGTCTTTTGATACAGTATATCAAAAAGAACAAGGTAAATGGACTGTATTTATATAGCGCTTTTCTCACAGTGTGTTGCACTGGCCAAAGCGCTTTACAGAAGATCATACACCATTCACACCGATGACGACAGGCTGCCACGCAACGGCGCTAGTCAAGCCACCAGGAGCAATTCGGGGTTCAGCGTCTTGCTCAGGGACACTTAGGCATGCAGGGAGACCGGGAGTCGAACCACCAACTTGCTGGTTAGGAGACAACCGCCCTACCTTGTGAGCCACAGCCACCCCTCAAGGCAGTCAGCATAGACTGTTACAAGCAGCAAGGAATCCCAATCAGAATGATAGTTACAATACTTATAGTTCTTCAAAAATGCCTCTCTCTACATTTTGTATAATGAGGATTTCAATTGATTCAGACTTCTTTTTAAAAGTTATGTGGAGATCAAATTTCACTCTTCCACTTTTTTCTCATATGAGGCCATCAGGAAAAATGACTTGAAATGACATGTTACTGTTACATTAATACATTCACACACACACACACTTTTGAGAGAAAAGTACAGATACATTTGTAGTGATGTGCCAAGTGAGATTAAAACTGTGTGTGCATCTTTGCCTTGTTCAGTGTAATTCTCTTGGTCTTTGACAGCCATGCGTGTCACTATCCTGCTGCTGTGGGACTGGAAAAGAACCATCTGCCTCAGAGCCTGAGAATAATGCGTAAATACTGTAGCTGGCTGCCAGAGGGAGTCCTCATAAGGATGTTTTTCAAACTAAAATCAAGTTTAAATACATACTTTTGGTCTGGTTACTCTTTCATACTGCATTTGCACTTGCTGGGGCAATGTCGTCTGCAATACAATAAGTTAATGAAGCTTGACCATTGTGATCACAGCCCCCGATTCTTAAACAACATACGTAAATAAAAAAAAAATCTAATAAGAACAATCATTGGTTTAAAACACTAATCATGAATAATCTTACTGTTTTAGTTGATAACTTAAAATAAGTAGCATGAAGTCCCCTGTCTAGTGCAGTATACCATAAACAAGCATTCATCGGCCACATTCATCAATTAACCATGTGTATAGCACCGCAGCAGTGGCTGCCTTCCAATATGAATACATTAGGGAAGAATATGTTACCTCACGGACCACAGCTGACCAACCACATTAGATTTGGCTATTAAGTGTGATAGATGCTTTGTGGTTAACAAAGCTAAACTCCTCCTATGGACTTTTCAGATACTTATCTTGGTGGCATTGACTCCTACTACCTCTGCAAAAGCAAACATTTCCACCATAATAAGGAAAAGACAAAGTAGAAACACTAAAAGCTGCATATTTATGCACAGGGAACATATCATTATCCAAGAGAAGCACATGAAAATCGATGATAGTGCTTCATTGCACCTAATATTTTACAAGTGATGACAATCATAGTTAAATATACCTTGTACAAAATCTATCATTCTCTTTATTTGAAAGCTCTTATTACTGTTGTATATGGTGACCTTGTGCAACAGACTTATCAAGAGGGATTATATTACAAGGGCTTTAAAGAGTGCACAGTGATGGAGGAGAAGGGAATAGGTCATTTCTCTGCAACTTTAGAAAAAGTAAGTCTACTTTTAAACACAAGAAACTCATAAGTTTCAGGAGGACAAATTATACCGTTGTCATTCACTAAACTCATAATGTTCTACAAAGATTAGATTTTCCATTTTATCTCATACTGCACTGTTCTTTTTACATGCTGTATACTATATTTGTAGCAAACTACAACAAATAATATCTCTAATTTGGCAAAACACAGCACTGTACTTCAGTGAAATGACAGCAGACATGTTGTTCAGTCCCATAAGCAAAGCTCCACCTATATGAATTGCATTTACAAAAAATGCTGCTGTCCCTGTTTTACCGAGTCTAATATTTCTTCATCCATTTTTTAAATATCCATGCTGAAAAGCTTATTGAGAATAATGTTGTTTTTTTAAGACAAACCCAAGTGACAAAACAAAGTATACACGGCGGCACAGAGAAGGCAAACAGTACATTTCAATATAGAAAGAGAAAAAGGCAAGGTGACAAAAAGCACAAACACAACAGAGCAAAGCAGACCAAAAAAGCATTAACAGGTACATGTCACCACACTCTTAATGCCCCGAGCTGTTAAATTAAAAAAATAAATAAATCATAACATGATTAAAGGCACAGTACACAGGCTTTATAACAATCACACCAACTAACATCAACAATAAATCATTCCTCACTCTTTTGTGAGAACACCACCTCATCTCACAAAGCTCCAAATCCACACATGGTGCATGAAGACAGTATCTGCAAACAACTGTCAGCAGCAAACATCCTGTTTTGCTGATGTTAATCTATGGTTCACATCTACCAGTGCACCCTTGAGATGAGTCTAAGACACACCAGGACTCCAGGGAGGTCACAGGGAAGGTCTGGTCTCAGTGGGACTGTTGCCTCAGGCCAGGGAAGAAGATGAAATGTTTTTTAGCAGGTGGACACCAGGGGGTGAAAAACAGGCAATATCTTTCTTCAGTCTGACACAACTTTTTGAATCTCTTCTACTTTATCGACTTTTCTTTTCTGGCCGCAAAGAGTGTAGCTCTTTATTTTCACCACCTGACCCATATACAAAACTGCTTTCTGGTGGGTGCTGCTCCAGAAATGAGGTCCAAGCCTTTGATCCAGCTCCAGATCACTGGCTGAAAAGCTGTCACTTCAGCTTTAGGCCGCTCAGCATCCCACGGCAGCTCTTCAAACCTGGGTGACACACTTTTATCACATTTGCACATCCTTCGTCATGTGACCAGCCCATTATGCCCTCTCACCAGCTATCGTAACAGGGAATTGACTTTAATATGAGCACAAATACCTCAACTCAAACACAACAGTGGTAGAATAAACAGCAAATGCCGTAAGCCATGGCAGTGATTATGCTGGAACTGAACAGATGTTACTGTGTGCCTTTCAGCCCAGGTGAGCCATAATATGATGGCTGCATCCACTTATATGAAGACTAAAGCTCACATCACCTTTCTGTGCTGGGTAAAAAAAGAAAGACAAAAAAACATGATGAACATGAAAGAAAAAAGAGGGGAGATTTAATTTAAAAATTGGCATGCATTCCTCATTTCTACAGATTAAAGCTTGTAAATGAAAAAGCCTGGAATCATGCCTGGTATGGAAATCTAAAGTTATGAATAATGCCTCAGTCTCAATCATCAAGTCTGTTTTAATAAGGTGGATTAGCCCGGCACCTGAAAGCTGAAAGGCACACACGACTACACTCCTAACCAACCAAGAGTGGGACAGGAGTCCCTGGGGGCTCTGTACCACACATTCTTCCTGTTGGACCAGTCGCCAGTCTGTAGGAGTGAGCAACTGCAAACAGCTCTGGCTTGTCATTTATGCCCATGAATCCGCCTCGGCTGGGTTGGCACTGCAGTGAGAGCAGCTGATTTACACACAGCTGCTAATCAGGGAATGGCTCTCATGCTAATGAAAACTCATAGATCTATACAATAGGACTGCTGATATGATTTTAGCTCCCATTACTCATTCCTAAATATGCAATAGGCAGTAATAGTTAAATACGACTGGGAGCAGAATTTGGGGTCAGAAATGTTGACATAGAAGATGGGCATCACTGTCCTAACCTGAGGAAAAGAACCTCCTATAGGTGCAGGCACTATTTCTCAGCAGACATAAATATCACAATGGAATAAATAGATTCTTTCTTCCTGTCTGTACCCAGTGACATGCCAGCATTTAGCTGATTGCAGGAGGGATACGCCTAACTCCACCCTCCCATCCAGCTCTGGGAGCTGAGGCAACCCCAGTAAACACAAAGGCCACCACAGTGGTTTGTTTCAGCTTGGCATTGACCCATCATCTCACTAAACAAGTCATAGGCACCAGTATAATCATGATTAAGACCATAACAGACCACTCAGTAGACACAGGAGGGGATGCAACCATCCATCCATCCATCTGCTATATTCATCAAGCAAATCACTTCCACTTCCAGCAAATGATAATGAATTCATTGTGACTTACCTGTTCCATTGGCTGTGTTTGCTAAGAAGAGAGGATACAAAGCTAAGCAGCTTTGAGATAGACGTGCATTGAGGCAAAACAGACTCACAGCTATGTTTTATGGACTAACTGGCTGTGAAAGCCTTAGGAATAAATGAGTCTAAGTGACTAATTGTAGGTGTAGAATTAAAGTGCACTCACCACTGGAGCAGTCCAGTCCACCCCATCCGGGCTCACACTGGCACGTATCAGGAGACACACAGCGACCATGGACACACTCCTCTGTGCAAAGAGCTGAGACACACAGAGGTGTTCCCTCATCAGTGAGGTATATAATTGAATTAACGTACACACAGAGACATATGCACACAAGCAGAGTGTAAACAGCATAATGAAACCACCAAGATAACAGCTGAGAGAAAATGACCCCTTAAAATTGAACACTCAATATCTCCCTAATACCATCGAGGGACTAAATCTTAGCTACGGCACTCGAAATTCAACATCCAGCTCCATTTCTAGACACTAGGCTAAATGATTTCTAAGGAGATTGAGTCCTTGGTCAACATTTCAGTTTATCACATAGCTTTACTGTCCACAGCGGACTTATCAGTAGGCTGAGTCATGAAGGAACAAGCTGTAAAATCCCCTCTAATTTGATCAGCTGGTGCCTTGTCATATAGTGATGCTTTAATGTGCCAGGTCCAGGCACTGCAGTGTTTACTAAGTGTGCAGTTTTCTTGATCATTCATATTGAGCAACACGGCACCCAATTGATTGGCTCAGCATTAGTATTCCTGGGAGCACGTTCACAAGAGCTGGAAGTTTGGTTCAGCTGGATAATAGTGTGACCTACATGGAGTTTTTGTGCCACAGTGGCAGGTTTTTTTTTTTCCTGTAAAGATAAGAAAAGAAAGCATTTTAAAAAATAGGCACTTGGCATAAATAAATTTGTGGCAGCCAAGGTCATCTGACCAGCAGGGTTAAGACAGACAGGCTCTTATCTCAGGCAGAAGACAGTCAGGCAATGCAAGAGAGACACCCCGTCTGCTGGGAATCAACAGTCCACTAACATGGTCTGTGGCAGGATGGCACACAATGCAAGGGCAGCAGAACAGATATTCCATCCATTTAACTTCATACAAGTTCTTTTGTTTTTGTTATTCGTTTGTCTTGTTTTATGAGGACAGCAGCTTTGAGGCGTTTCTAAACAACACAAGCTCTGAGGTGATTTTGCAGCTTTCTGTGCGACACTATGACGCTCATCCTGCAGGCAAAGAGGTCAGCAGGGGCTGCAGGCCTGAACAATGCTACTATAGATTATCACTCAATCAGGTTTCGATTAGGAGCCACCTCCAGCCGAAGACATGCAGCAGGAAAGGCGAAAAAGAAGAGAATCCCAAACGCCCACAAGCCGGTGCTAATTGCAAAAAAAAAAAAAAAAAAAAAATGCTCCCAAGGCAAAACCAGTAAAGCAGAGATTGAAAGATAATTCAGGGCAGATCAGAGCATCAGTACAGGCAAAAAAAAACTGTCTAATTACAGTAAGCCACCATAAAGAAAAGGAGGAAGAGCTCCAGCATTTGTGCTGACGATAGTGTGGGATTGACTACCTGTAATCAATGAGTCCACAGCATGCAGTATTCAAAGAGAAGAGGAGGCAAATTCAATGTCACCATGATGAGTTGATTTCATTTAGTTTCAATCAGCAAATTCTGATCAGCGAGAGCAGGGAAATGCAAATGTGTCACATGCTTTAGAAAAAAAAGAAATATGGAAATGAAGTTTTGAAAATGGGAGAAAGGATAAAGCACAACCTTCTTCTGAGAACTGAACCGTTGCACTGAAGGGATGGCATAATAAAGTAGGAGGTAGGCCTTTCATTTTAATTGAAATTCATGAATCACTCTGTTTAACTCATGTTTAAGGAATCTGTTGGAAAATTGAGTCTTTCATCTAGATAAAAGGCTAATCTAACTCATTATGCAGAGGTGTTATCAGAACAGGGAACAATGGAGCTAATTGGTGATTGTCATGCAGTTTTAATACATTAAATATTCTTACCCAGTCAAACTACAATCTTTTATATTGTCTGACAAAATAGGCCTTTATAATAGCTACTGTAAATGTGTTAGTCTCTTTGTTTAGGGGAGTACAATTGTGTTTGTTTCAGATTTTTGTAGTGCAGATGTACAGTGTTTTGCAGTAAACTGGTGGGGCAGTGAAGCAAAAAAAATATGGATGCCCACAGAACATATCAAACAACTCCCTCCACAGCTTCTTCCATGTCTCTATCTAGCACTGAGATGATTTATTTTAAAAATGTCTTTGAAGCATTAAAAAACTGCAACAAAGCCAAAATGAAAAAGAAATCAAAGGCACAGATTCTCTTTCTGGAGAAAAAATCTCATCATCTTCTCAATCATCAAAACCCCGATGCAAAATGTGTGCAAGGGTATTGCTGCCTGAAACTCTATCAAATGCCAACTAATTTTGATGCCAAAGTCATTTTTTAGAATTACATTGCAGCACTGGACAGGGAGGAGTCATGCAGGAGTCATCTGGCCTAAATGCTCTGCAAAACGAGGAACTCCTGGCCCTGCAGAGGCTGTCAGCCTCTGAAGACATTACCAGCTGTTGTCATTAGTGAGCTCCTCTCACTTCCTTGTGTAATAATCATGCTTATTAGGAGGGAAATGAGTTCCTCACATCCTCTACACAGCCTAGTCACAGATTAAGGTAATGACTTGTGACAGATCAAAGGTCACAGAATTAATAAAGACCTCTAGTCGGAAACTTCAAGCACCAATTAGAGAGAAATGGATCAAAGTTCTACTTATTGTGGAGAGCTTTGAAAAAAATTAAAGAATCGCATCAAGAGACAGAATGAAATAAGAAGGGAAGAAAACAACACCTTTAAAGATAATGCTGCTGATTTAGTGGCAGAAGTATTCTCCTTATGTGTGCTTGTGTGATCATTTTGGTACGTTCGAGGTCCTCACATCCCCAGACTCATTTACATGTAACTGCCTCTCATTGGAGCTAATGTAAGTGTTGATGTGGCACCTTACAGTAAAACTAGAATTACCGCTTTGCGGTTCTATGCCTCTGCCAACCAGACAAATTCAAGGGAATGTGGCAGACGTGAGATCACTGACCGCTGACCTTTGAACAACAAAATCAGTTCATCCCTGAGTTCAAGTGGACACTTATGTAAAATCTGAAGAAATTCCTTTAAGGTGTCTGGACTGACTTGCGGACTGATGGAGGGTCACCCTGAAAACATAATTCCTCTGGCTGAGACTAATGCTGGTGTGTAGGCATAAAAAAACAGAGGCAGGATTAAAAAGCAAGCACCCTTGAAACATTTCTTAGTTTTAATGAAACACACTTAATAAAGAAAGCTACAGTAAACTAAGAAAACACTGAGGGGGGGGGGATATTTTACATTCAGTAAACAACAAAGTGTCCTGAAATAGACGACTTGAGTTAATTTTGGGTCGATTTACCCTATAATGCCCCCTTTTGTCACTGCATGCAAAACAACTTGGGGAGTACAAATCTCTTAATCCTGGCAATGAGAGTGCAAGGATTAAAAGGCATGGACCAGTTTGCAAAGGCTGCAGAAAGCAAAAACTGCCCTCTTGGCCCCCATCAACTCAGTCTGCCCACTTCACCTGAAGAGGGTTAAAGGGGAGGGCGGCTGTTTTCACTCTCAGCCTGACATAGTAATATCAAAATAAAACCTATGATCCATACAAGGAGGAGGCCACATACGAGAGGTACTACAGTGTTTGCAGATTCACTCAGTTAACACCCTGAAAAGGCTATTAAGGAACAGCACTCTCTAAATGGTTAATGAATACATTATTGATCAATCTGCGCCTCCCTTCTCAAAGTCCCCCACATAATCAAGCGGCTCTTATTCTTTGCTGGCTGGCTTCCTGGTGCTCTGCTGCCCTGAGGATAGTAAAGCCTCGACAAGGACACGCTTATCTGTGGTCATAGAGCAAACCCACATGGCTGATCTCGCTGTATCAGAAACTCCCTCATGTTACAAAGGATCTAGGAAAATGTTAAAGTGGAATTCTAATCTTATGTAAAGGGAATAAAACATTAGGTGAGGCAAGAATATCAAAAATGTGCCTCTCAGAAGCTATATATCCTTTATTTATTTAGCCAACATGCAAAAATATTCAGTTTGATGTGTGGGAGTAAAAATAGAAATTGACAGCCATTAATGAAGCTATAAAAATGACAGTGTAGGAATGCTATCAGCATATTGCTCCGGTAGAATTTTTGCACAGCTCCTGCTCTTTTTACAGTATGTTGAATTCCAGTTTGGTTTTATGGCAGGTGCTATACCTGCACAGTCTGTAACCGGGACCCTCTTGGCTCGTTAAATTTTCTCACTGTTATACAACTTCAATTAAATCGCTCTTGCTTGAAGAGTAAAGCAGGGAGCAGGCTATAGTGTAAAATACTGTTCCTTCATGTTAAATCATGCTCAGTCATCTTAAACTGAGTAAATCCACATAGATGTCGACGGAAGAGGTAGCAGTGAAGGACCCATAATAAAGAGGATCAGACTGGACTGGGGGCGACAAAGATGGGGGGTGGGCAGCCTAGCAGGGAGTTGTAGCTTTAACTACAAGCCACCCACAATAGCGATCAATCCTAATATTTACGCCTTTTCTCTAAATGTCTTGCAGACATAACCTGAAATGTCATCAGCGAGGACAAGGGAGTTTTAAAAAAGGATACTCACGAACACACAAGTCTGCGCTCTCAAAGTAACCAGGGCAACACTGCGAGCGGCGCCTATACATGGTCCTCACTCCCCGGCGGTAAGCCGTCTTATAGCTGATCCTGGAAAACAAACACACCAAGACAGCTATGTGATGTAAAGAGTGACCTTTTCTGAAGGACAAGAAAAGATATAGAAGGTAGGAGCAACTTGTGCCATGATATTTTGTTTTTATGGGCAAGTTTATTAAGTTCAACAGAGGAATAAGGATTAAAAGCCAGTGAAATTTTGTGTAAACACGCTACATATATACACCAGTATTTGGGAGGTTCTGGATACTTATTTAGCTGGATGCCCACTGTAAATTTTAATGTAGTAATTATAATGTTTACTGTAAGATGATTACAGTGAGATCCTGGCTCTACTTCACTGTCACCCACATTAATAAGGCCACATTATTGAGGCCTTTATAGACTTGGCTCTAATTTTGGGGGACAGTGAAGGTCAACCCACTGATGAAACAAGTATGTGAACACATAAGGTGACGCTTCCAAACTTACCTGTGCCTTGTGCATTTAAACCAGTTGAGAATGTCTGTGCATCTGGTGTAGTAGATCTGGTCAAATGGGTGAGCGTAGGATTCCTGCACAGTCACAGCATAGCTAGAGGACATAAATGGAAAGAGACCAGTAATAGAAAGAAGTACTGCATAGCACTTAAGCACACTTTTGATCCAATTAATTTTACTTTACTTGACTATTTCCATTACTTTATACTTCAGCACTACTACCTTTCAGAGGGTAACAAAGTATTTCAGATTCACCCTGAACTTCACCTATAACTCTGCACACTGTAACCTGCAGAACCTTTCTGATGACTCAGGTGTTATTGGGTGCATCACTGACAGAGTGAAGGACTGTGATCCAGGACTTTGCTCAGTGGTGTCAGTGGAACAGCCTGCAGTTCAATACAAGTGAGACCAAGGAGCTGATAGTGGACTTTCACAGGAAAAAGCATGCCCCACCCAGAGTCATACACATACAGGAAATGAATACAGAGACTGTGTTTACCTCAGCAACCCCACTGCCCTTTACATAAAAGGACAGAGTCGACTACCCCACTGCCCTTTACATAAAAGGACAAAGTCGACTCTACCTGCTGAGGATCCTTTGGAGTGTGCAGGGCACTACTCAGACTGTTCTATGACTCTGTAGTGGTATCAGCCATCTATGCTGTGGTCTGCTAAGGCAGTGACATCACAGCGCCAGACAGACAGAGACAAGATAAACTGGTAAAGAAGGCCAGCTCTGTCCTGGACTCAGTAGAGAAAGAGGATGGCCAAACTGTTGGCCATTATCGACAACACCTCCCTCCTCTTACAGAACACCCTGAGCACCTTCAGCAGCAGGCTGGAGTGTTACCGCATGTCCTTTGTCCCTGCTGCCGCCAGACTACACAACCTACTGTACATCACTGCTCCCAACAAACAACCCAGTAACTGCAGGGTTTTGACTAATTGCCCAGCTTAAAAACCACTGGTCACTTTAATGACATTGTCACCTTCCTGTCACCACTGCCTTACCTTTTCTGTGCACACAAATGTCACACAAACACTACACACTCTCTCTCTTGCGCTGTACATAATAATAGACTATTACTGTTATTCAACTGTGTACTTTACTATATTCTAGCCTTCTATCATTTATAACATCTACATTTGTATAAATAACATTTTATAAAACTGATAAAAAAAAACTATAGATTTTTAATTTGTGTCTTACTTTTATTTATTTGGACCTGGACTAAACTACCAAACTGCATATAAAGTAGTTACAATTAGCTACACTTCAGCCAGCGACAACAGTAAAATTCTTATGCATTGATGCATCAGTCAACCTAAGAATACTATATACTATATAGTATATAAAAATGTGGTCATCAGTCACAGGGACAGAACAAGTACTTTTACATTGATACTTACCATTTTGAATGCAGCCCTTTCACTTGTAATGAGATACTTTCACATTGGTGAAAATTCTCCATACTTTCACTTTCAACTTGTAATGAGATACTTTCACATTGGTACTATTGCTTTAGTAATGATCTACAGTAGATACACCAGTGAAAGACACTGCTGCAATCATAGTGAATGTAGTAAGGAATATAGATTTTTATGCTCCTTGGAGAATAAAAAAAAACAGCTGCACAGGTCTTGTCAATGGATGCAGTTGCAATAAAAGTAATACAATAACTTTGATATGCAAAGACAAGACTTGAAAGAAGCTTTTAGATGCCTTATGTTAGTGATATATGCAGCCAGAGGCAGCCTGGGGATATTGGAGGATGTTAAAGCCATGAGCACAGGCCACTTAGGGAATTCATTTCAATGCCAGCATGGTGAAGCCACGATCCCTAAGTACCTTCACCTTGGTCAGGCAATAATCCAGATAATACATCTTCACAGCTTTCTTTCCTCCCCTTTGCATTGAGGCCAGAAATTATTCCTGCTTATTTCTCATAAGTGACACTGTCCAGCACAACTAATAATTATTCAGGCTCTGTGGCTGCCATGATTGATTGGGATGAGAGTACACTGATCAATTTGCCTGCGTATTTCATTTGAAGCTGCAACTCCTCCCATCTCTCCAAGCTTGGCAACTGAGCTGTGTGAGATCGATACTGCTGTGTACACTTTGAGAATAGATCTGGAACTTTGGTTAAGAGTGTTTGTAGCAGGTCCAGTGAAAAGGTTCCAGGACTGACAACATCATAGGAGCTGGTGTTGTCAAACTGCTCTTTCAGATCTAAAACTCAATGCACTGTAGAAAACTAAGAGAACTCACGCTCACCTCTCCCAGTGACTGCAAACATTGGGGTCGTCTGGGTTCAGACTCCATACACAAGTGGTGAATCCCAGGGCAAACAGCAGGGCCAGCAGGGCAAGAGATGACCCCATTCTTCCCTCTGAGAGGGGCACAGAGAGGAAAGATAAATGGTTGTACAGACAAATGCATCAGTCCACATCCTGCCCTTTCTATTAAGAACCTATAGTATTTGTCCTTTGAAGCAGAGCACCTATAGTAGTTTAAAGAAATAGTTGAAGATCTGAGAAATACTCTTATTTGATGTCCTGCCAAGAGTTAGAAGATCAATACTACTTTTATTGTTGTATAATATGAAGCTACAGTCGACAGCAAGTTAGATGAGTTCTGGACACACACTGTGCATACATTGCTAGACAGCTTACAGTTACAGTCCACACAAATGGTCCAACAGTAAAATTTGCATGAATGTCTCCAGGTGAAAATCTGCTTCATTTTCTGTCTAAACACCGTTAGTGGTGCTGGTAAGTGGATTTACTCTTGGCAAGAAAGCAAATAAGTGCATTTCCCAAGATGTTAGAAGTATAGTATTTGTATAAAATACTTTCCAAGATGGGATTATCAAAACACATACAATACCTATGCTAGTTAGCATTAGCTCCTGTAGTTGCCTCAGTAAGACCCTCATAAAGCACGCTTAGTAAACCACTACCAAAGGTTGTATGGTTGATACCGACACGCAACTTATCCCATATTGTAAGTTAACGCCTGCGTGCCGTTAGCATTAAGTGTCTCAGGACACTGAACATGGCGTTGGCTTTTTATAACAAAAAATTCAAACACTGTTGTATTATAAACAGCAAACATTTACCAATGTGTATGTGTGTAGTGATCCTGTGAAAGTGTCATAGCATGTTTGCATGTGTACATTGGTTGTGTGTGCTTCACTGTATTATAATGAAAATGTTCCATTTTTCTGTGTGATGATATCCAATAACACAGGCATTAACATGTTCAGTTAATCTTTTGCACTGATAGCCTCGTGAAGTTCACTGACATGTAAAAGAAAATCAATCAGACCTCCATTTCCTCTAAGTAGCAGTTCATCTGAACAGGCAGAGGTTAAAGTTGTGTTCATTTCCTTAACAGGATGATTAATCAACACACACGTTACAGACAACAGCTGCTTTCATATTCAGGTCCCTCTGTTAAATACCACAGGGACTCTGCTTGACTGACTAGAAAGCTTTCATTGCTCCTGTGATTAGGCCACCACCCTCATCCATTTGTCTGAATGCCTCTGGACAAGTGGAATATATCATAACTTGTCATGTCACATTTTTCAAACCTCACAAGTTCACAGTCACAAGCCTGAGGAATGAGGCTGAGAGGTGGTAAAGTTATGATATCCTGAATATGTGGCAAAATTTAATGAATCAGTGGCTTTTAGTAGTTGTTAGTGTGGCGACTGCAAGCGAAGCGCTGCTATGGAGCCCTTGAAGAAAGAGACAGTGACACATCTAATAGCTTGTGGCACGTGGCACGTGACCTTAAGCTCACCTAATCTTACAGCACCAAGCGACAGAGGCACACACACACACACACACACACACACACACACACACACACACACGTACTTGCTGGAAGAAGTGATGACAGGTCGTAGATCTGTGGGAGAGAGGAAAAATAATGAGCTTATGATGACACACAGAAGACACGCTTACTCTCACACGCATGCGTGCACACAAGCTCATACAGTAAATTTCTTATGGGATAAAGAATCTCAACAGGGCTATAGTTCACAAAAGCTCTTGAAAGGCCAATTTACTCTGCACAGCCTCCCCATCCAGCCACACAGTTCTTATTCCGCTCTCCGGTGTCCCTCCCACCTGGCATCCACAGGCACACTAAGTTACCCATAGGAATAAAAGCCTACATTACAGTACCTCAAGAAGGGCTGATACAGTGAACTCTGTTCACACAGTGTGACAAGATCGTGTCATTTTTACTCGTTAAAAAAGCCTACATTTGCACTATACAGGTGTGAACAGAACATTGATGTGTTGATCATCTCTGTCTCTACACTGCTCTTAATGATTCCTCCATAAGGTCTGAGGGCAGGTGTGTAATTCTTCTGCTCTTCATTTGCTCTAAATCTTGAATTTAGATGTAAACACAAGTAGAATGAAATCATATTGCTATTTTTGTTCCTGGTGTTATTAATACTTCAACTTTTTTTGCACTGAGCCCAAGTTGAGTAGACACTGAGACGGGCGACTGGTGGGCTCATTATGTCTATTAGATTCACAAATAAGGTAATTTTGAGATCTCTCCTAACTGAATTTTAATTAACTCATCTACAGAAGTGTCATCAAACAGCTGGCCAGGAAACGCACACAAATGCACTACAGCAAGTGCAAATTTATCAGAAGAATAATTAATGTTCACTGTGACCAATTTCACTTAAAAGAAAAAGCAGGGTTAGGGTTTAGTTTTTGTATTTTCTGGTGCTCGACTGGGGTAATATAATTTCTGAATTACGAGCTCCATATGATTTTTTTGCCTCACAAAAAATAGACATTTTCACCAGTTTTTTTTTTTATTTGAGTTAACTCCTGAAGCATTTAGCTTTAGTTTCGACCTTTCCGAGGTTATGACATGTTTAAAAGAAAATATTTGCATGCTGCATTTATTCTTTGATCCGCTGAAATCTGCAAGCATGCAGGCAGCTGTCTAACAAGTTCTGATCTAATCTTCTGTCCAGGATGTCACTATTGTACCATCACACATGGATCTAATGCCAAATCATCATACCCTGTGAGACCTGGTAACAATCTACCTCCACTGTACCTGTTTGCAGCTCAGAATGTCGGTAGCAAGCCAATGACTTTAAAAATCTGAATGTCAAGGACAAGAGACTCCCTGCTATTTTGTCATGCTGGAACAGTGTGGGTATTAACATTTTATTTATTTTTTTTTTTTTAAAGGCAAAAGGTAATCTTGCACTGCACTGAACCTCTTCTTTACTGATTCTGCATACAGCTACAGTACGTCAATAAAGAGTACTGCACAAGACAGACAAGTCAGATCAATATCACACTCATCATCTGGGGTTTCCTTGTTCATGTCCACAAAAACAGTTTGTTTCTGTTTTCACTTGAAACATTTTCTCTTTACACCAGACAAAATGCTCTCCAGAGATCTTATTCAACCTAAGCAAATCTCCTGCTCATCACCACTTTGATTTCTCAGACTATGAAACCATCTCATTCACTGTCCTGCTGCATCTGATCCTGTCAACAAACTGCTGAAATAGCAACTTACTTTAGGCTATTGATGGAGACACAAGTGCAAAGCACAAGAGGCAGAGCTGAGGTGCACATTGTAGTGTGATACCTGTGATACAGTGCCACCTCTGTCCCCAGTACAGCCTTTCACCAGTGGCATCTGCATGATTAAAGACAGGTGTCTTCAGTGTGTGACTTATTAAAGTGTAGTACAGTGAGTCGAGTTCATCTTGATCTACAATGCTCAGTTTTGCCTTGTGTTTGATAATTTACCTATACACAATGGAAAGCAGTCAATGGAAACATTGCTTGGTACTGCAGTCTTGTCTGGAGCAGCAGAGAGAATCCTTGCTCATTTGTGAGCTTCTGTGTGTAACATGTCCTTGCACAATCAGCTTATTAATTTAAATTCAAGCTGAGGGCCCATCTAGCCTACAATTTTGTATGAGAATTCATCTGGCCACTCAATCTGTTTTGTAATCACTAATGCAGGATTCCTGGAGCAACATAATTTGGAGTAATCTAAGGGTTACAGGTGCAACCACACAGCAGAGAGTGCTAGTGAAATAAGCCTCACTGCTGGCCTTCCCTGTCTGCTGCTGAGGGCTATGAGTCATTAAGAGTAAGGCCTCATTAAAGAGACGATGGTGTGGTGCATCACAGACACCGCTTCCCCTGGCTGCAGACATATACCTGAGTGCCTGACGTGTCAGAGGCCAGACGGAGAGGACAACAGCATGCCAGATGTACTGGTTCTCTGACAGGCAGAGCAACAACATTAAATCCTGAATTTCAAAACCTCCAAAATTACATAGCATATTTTGGAGACATGTTTCAGCTGAGCTCAACACTTGAGAAATTACATTTTCTGCAACTTTACAGTTGTGCTATAACACTATATTTCAGAAGGCCATATAATTTTACTGCACTACATCTATATGACAGAGTTAGGAGAATAAAATTGAACATATTTAACATAATAAGATAACAAATTAAATGATCAGCTTATGAAATATTTTGTATTGCTGTAGGTAAAACTACCCAAACGTTTATAATTAGAATGAGCTCACCTCGACCAGCTACTCTAATAAAACACTGCTTACACTTTATACTTACAAACATTCTGTATAACATGCTTTAATTACATTTAGCTTGTGGCATGTCTGAATACTTCTGGCCTTCCCATAATCTTTTATCATACTTTTTTCTAAATTTGTGCTTTAATTGTCCTTTAAATTTTTTTGTCCTTATTTTATTTTTTTTATTCTCTGTAAAGCACTTTGTAAACACCGTTTTAGAAACGTGCTCTATAAATACATTTAATTATTATTTTCCCACCGAGTGTGCTGATAATTTGAATTAAATATTCAAGTAGTCTTTTGTGACCTTTATAGCAACAAGGAATCTAGTTATTGTGTTTTTTTTAATTTATCCTGCTTTCCTGTTTTATTCTCTCTTTACTTTATACACATAACACTTTAAGGCACCAAACACATGCATGGGCATCAACTGTATTAAAGCCAAAGAGGCCCAGAGGGTGTTTGTTGTTGCATTTATGGAAATTTTAGTAACGTTGACAGTATGAAGTGCAGAAAAGGCAGCAATGTCTTAGACCTGATCTCAGTAAAATTGCACTCCTGGATACTTTACTTTTTATTGCACTCCAGTGATTAGGAAAGCCTGCTTGACATGATCCAGCTAAGGAATAACTTTACAATCTCAGAGTGGAGACTCTCGGTAACACTGCTTAGTTATAGTTTTGGACATTTGCGAGGACACAGGTAGGACAGGACGAACAGTCCATCCTGATCTAGTGTTGAGCTTTTGCATAAAATTTTCAGAGCTGAGAATGAATATAGACAGGAAGGATAGGAAACAAATGTACGATACTGATATTACTAACATGCACAACATATGCATTTCCCAAGAGAAACTGACAAACCAATCCATCACAGCTACCGCAGCACCTCACTGTATACTGAATTTTTGTTTAAATTAGTTGAGCATTGCACTGTAGGTGTGCACTTCAAAATACAACTTTCATCAATATATTGAAACAATCCATCATATTCATTTCACCCTTATGTCTAAAAGGGCATCTCAGCCGTATGCTCTCACTTTAGGTCAGATGGGTTTATAAATTTAGTTAGCTGTAAACTATTTTTAAGAAATGATTGTTTCAGCTCTCATTTGTTAAAAATAGTGTTTGTTTTAACATTGTAAACTGAATATCATGGACTATGAGACTATTGGTCACAGCAAGACCTCATCTTGAGCTTTAGAAATGCTAATGGGCATTTTTACTATTTTCAGACATTTAGACCAAACTATTAATTGATTAATGGATAAATGAATCATCAACATAACCAACAGTTGTAGCCCTAGCATATTTTTAAAAGGTGGACACTTCATGAAAACCAAGCTATTATGGTATACGATTGTTTGGTGGAGCTACATTCTCCAGAAAATGTGGCTGCATTGCGTTTTGGTGTTTTATCACAAACACAGTCTTTCAAGTCACGTGTCTAGCAGATAATGAACTTATAACCATCCAACCTTCAACTGACAGCACTGGTGAAGTCATGAGAATTATCAGCGATTAGGAAAATCCCCAGAGATGATTTAAACTGATAGTTTTTCAGCTGCTGTGCTGGGCTTCCAACGAGCAATGTCATAAAACAGCTATAGCGCAACAGCAACAACACAACCTTCATAACTGTGATTTTCACTTGGAGATTAAAGCACCTGGGAAAATGCTGTGCATCGTTTAACAGGAACTTAATTCTGGCCACATGGTTTATTCATGTGGCCACCGGTGATATCACGACTCCTATAAATCACGCAGTGCGGCATGCTGGACATCCACACTCTGAGGCAGGCCTCACTAATCTCAACACCATCTTTCATCTGAATAACCTTGCCTTTCCGCAGGGCAGGCCAACATCAGACACAGCTCATTGGAGGGAGGCTCTCCTCATACTTTTATTTCTTTCACTCAGGGCACAAAGAATTTCTGCAGCCTGCCAGAGCAGACAAACACTGTCCTGTGTGCTCCAAGGCACAAGCCTGCCCACTCTCAACCACAGGCAATAATAAGAAACTGCTTCATGGACATCAGAGTAACTAATCTACTCTAACGTTAGCTTTATGAATATAGAATCAGACACACAAGGGAGGAGAGCAGCGGTGCCGGCCGCGCCATCTGTTCAGAAGTGGTTCAAAGAAAGAGCAGAAAATCTGAAACTAATGTGAGTAAACATCATCATCAAATTTAAATAACAGAATGGGGCACATAGCAGCTTATGCCCTCATTTTTCTTACATTTTTCTATTGTCAAACCTTATCAAATGTTTTGTAATTAATTGTATTAAGGTCCTTATT